AGAAACTTTCAGTTTGATGTTTAGATGAGGTGAGGTTTTTATAGGTCAGCGTTCAATCCAGGGTGTTACCCAAATGCTTTGGTGTAGGTCAGTCTTCCAGTATCTTGCATCCCTAGCTAACTCAGACATAGAAGGAGTCTCCTGGAAAAGTGGAAAGTGTTGTAATACACTCAGTGTAGCCGACTAATCTTTCCTATCCAGAAACCTTGCACTGCAAACATATTAGTTACAAAGCAAAACAACAAAATTAACCAATTAAATGCTAGGTAAGGAAAAGCACATGTTTTCACAAATAAACAGCTTTAAGCACTTTGTTCCCTACTTTTGCTTTCATGTCACCTGTAATTATGAGCATGTCTTATTTTGGTGTGTGATCAGTTTCCTCCTGGATGTTTGCATGAAAGCTTTCAATTTCATCTTCTTCAGCATTGGTACTTGGAACATAGACTTGAATGATGGTTATGTTGATAGATTTTCCCATAGGTCTGACTGACATTATTCAGTCAGAACTGACCTTATAGTTCCTGCCTGCCAGTGCTACATCTTGCCTCACTATTAGAGCCACCCTATTTCTTCTGAGTTTGTCCTTTCCAGAGTAAAACACCTTACAGTTGTCTCAATGAAAATAACCTGTTCCAGTCCACCTTAATTCACTGATACGAAGCACTGCAATGTTTGAACGTTCAGTTTCTTGCTGAACAGTTTCCCGTTTAGCTTGACTCATATTTCTCACATCCTGTATTCAAATTATATGTTTTGTGCAGCATCAGACTTACCTTTCACCTCTGTGTACATCAGCCACTAGACAGCCTTTCCACTTTAATCTAGTTGCATCATTAGCAACAGTGCTATTCATTCTTATCCTTTGCTCTTCCCCAGTAGCTGACATGGGAGTCTGATTTTTCAGCATTATCTCTTGTTTCATTTTGGACTGTCTTATTGTAGGGTTTTCAAGGTAAAAAGATTCAGCAGTGATTTACCGTTGCCACTTTGTGCGCAGTACCAACAAAAATTACCTTGAGTGTGTCTGTCATCTGTTAAGTACCACCTTCAGCTACCACTGCTGTGTAGTTGCTGCTCTCTAGACGGTTCTCTGACTCCATCATCACTGGGATTATCAATGCTGTTCTACGGATGCAGCCATTACTCCTGAAGGGACGTCCTTGTATTGGACAAGTTTTCCTCATGCACTCTCTGCTGACCAGCCTAGGGTGGCTGGCAATGCTCTATGGAGAAGGCTCCCAGCACATCATGGCTGGGGTTTAAACAGTGCCCTGAAATCCTCCTCCTTGTAGTCCAAATCTCTATAGGGATGATGGTGTGAATCTTTCGGATGCTGGTTAAGAGATCTGGTTGCATGATGTTAGAGAAGGCCTTTTGATGTGGTCGTGGCAGCATTAGTTTGGCGGAAGGCTGGAGGGGCGATGGGGTCCCATCCACCTTTAGTGGTGATTTTACGCATAGGACCGGTTCTGTGCTAAGTGGGGTGGGCATTTGGCCCTATCCCAGGCAAGGGAACCCCCCTTTTTTCTCTATGGCGGACCATTGGGTAGAGAACACATTGGAAGTCTGCCTGGCTTGGGAGGACTGCCAAAAGTTCCCTAGAACTGAAACCAAAAGGTCTCTCCCTGTCCTAATTGGTTACCAGTTCCTATAGTTACCCAGCAATGCGCTGGAATGATGAAGTACTGTACTGTATTAGATGAAAGGCAGGTCACCCGATACATGAATCTGCTCCTTATGCTGTGCCTATGCTATACTGCTGCAACCAACCCAAGCAGTGGCCTTTTTTATATCCACTACCAATTCATTTACAATGAAATCCACTAATGTTAGTGATGTGTATGTCTCAGTTTGTGGGATGGGGCCAGGGGCATACCAGGTTTTTCTTGCCTGGGCCTGCAGATTACCTGCAGTGGACATGCATGTGTTGGAAGAACATGGATATGTATTCCAGCAGCAGGTTCAGGCCTTTGACCTCAGCAGGTTCATTGCAGAGTCTAAGAAGGCTTCTCTGTGATTTCAGTGGGTTCTCTGCATCTGTTTGGCAATCCCATGCTAGATGTGTGTAGAAAGTCTGAAAGGGACTCTATCATGCAAAACATTGTATCTGTGGTGTTTTAGTTGAAATGTATTTTTAATGCACCCTGGGGGTTTAAAAGTCAGTATAAACAGTATTGGCTGTTGACAGATTTACATAATTGCTTGTTTCTTAGATTGCGCAGCTGGATTGTCTTCACACTTCAGAAGGCTATTTCAGTAATTGTTCAATTTTACAGCCAGTTGAACTTGCAGTTGCATTGGACACATGCTTCTTTGTCACAATAGCCTGAATATGAGTCTTAAATTCGATTCATTGGATTATAGGTTGGGAATTTCTAAGGAGCAATGTGCTTGATTTCAATACTGGCTCACCCTATGCGGCTTGGTTATTCCATTTATTGCATGGTATAATTATTTGCTTGAGTGACATTAACATAAATCAATTTCACTTGATTATTCGGTCTGTCAGATTCTATAAAATCTCATAGCACTGGTCATATTTCATCTGTATGATACATGTCTTCTGCTTAATGTCAGAAACCCATATTCAGTGATGATCAATTGCATAATAAATTGTTCCCAGCAAATAATACAGCATTTAATGAGCTTTTTGTAGAATCTTTTAAACAAGTCTTTGCCATGGTTGGCACAGGATATTGTAAAGCAATATTTTAAGCTAAGGCTTTCCTTTAATTTCCTGTAATAATTAGGAATCCAGTGTTCAATAGTATAAGTTTCATTAACTTTTATTATACAGTATTCCCACAATATATATTGTTTTGCAACATGGAAGGAAAGGGTTCTCTGGTGTTTGTTTTAGCAGTGTTATACAGAATGACAACATTCTTTGGGTAGAAGAAAAAAATAATTTTAGGACTCCAACTCCCATTTTGACCAGGGGATTCTGGGAGTAGTAGTCTGAAAACGTAACCACCTGAAACTCGTTGAATGGTTGCTACTAAGTGTTGAAGAAGATCTGAGCACTGAATGGGTGTTCAAGGCTTCTACCAGTCTGGTCTTGATAGGAATTCTTGATCTCTAGGATTCTCGCACCCCATAGATGTGAATTCTGCTCACAGGACATAGTACAGAGCAAAATGAAGGGAAGAACTTATTGCTATTTTTTCCTTCCTTTGCAGCTGCATCTGAGATGAAGGTGTGTGGGAGGGAGGGTGCGCTGAAGGCAGAAAGGAGGCAGTTAGTGAAAGTCACCTCCTTTCTTTTGGCTGGTAAAATTCATCATTGCTGAATCTGGAATTGCTATTGCCAGATTTAGCACAAGTTAAATAACGTACAGCGTAGATCTGTAGATTGTAAGAATGATGATGATGGCAATGACAGTGATGACAATGACAACGACAGTGTAATAATACCATCCTACTTTACATAATACTGCAAGTGTAATACTGACCGTGGTATCCTTCTGGGCTATCTCTTTGGGATGGGACATGGAAGTACTGTTAAACAGCAGCTCCAGTCCCTCCTGGAGGCAAGAACTCAGAAGGTGGTGCTGGGAGATTCCTGTTTTGACACTTTGGCTGCTGGCCTGCAGGGTCCCCCAGGATGCTGTTTTGTCTTCTATGTTATTTAACATCTACATGAAACTGCTAAGAGATATCTGGAGTTTTGTGGTTCAATCACCGGGCTCCACGTGGTATGTGCGTCCATCGACATTGGCGTCGTGCCAGTTGCAGCAGTAGTTCCTCTGGCACTTCCCCACCTCTCCCTGCAGCCAACTGCACAGCAGCTGAGCAAGGAGACATGTCTTCCTGCCTCCTCGCTAAAGTAGAAGCGCCAACAAGACTACTGCCACGATTTGCGCAGCGCCGATGTTGAAGGACGCACGGAGCCCGGTAAGTGGACCTGACTGGGACCACTGGGACACCTGTGCTGGTGCGCTTTGTATTCACATCCCTGGATACAAATACGAAGCGCACATATCTGCTGTTAATACTGAGTGATTCCTCCCACCCCCCATTATTTGAGGTTCTTGTAAATCAGTATATTTTATAGGTAAGCAGGTGGAGTGTGAATGATAAAATAATAGTCATTCAAGTGTACATAGTATATGTAATTTATATGGTTACAACAAGAAGAATCACATGTACCGAAAACTGAAAACAAGTAGTAACAGCCACAGTGAGAGAATGGATACAGGAAAAAAATGTTCGTACCGCTTAAATAATCAGAACAAGGGGAAGAAAATGAAGAATGACAGAAGTTTAAATGGAATTCCAGTTACTAGTTACTGAATAAAAAAGCTTACTTGCCAATACATAATATTATGACAAGAATCCTATTGATGTTCCTGTAAAACATGAATAAGATGCTGCAGCTAATTCAGGCTAACTAATGAGGTGTCAGGGTTTTTCCAGGTTATGTGCAATGCCACATGTCTGATTGCACAACAGAGATGGATACTGGCACCTCAACGATTAGTCACAATAAGTGATACAAACCTTATGCGAACACCAATAGGATTCTGACCGTATATTTTTCTGTGTGTTGAAACCAATGATATGGTTTCTTACTGTTTGGGATCTTTTTGAATTGTGGTGGAAACTAGATATATTGCTTGTTGTTGTTTAATTTTTTTTTGTAAATTATATGTTTCTCAATTATTGAAAAGAATCATATATTGCTTAACTGTAAACTCACTAACTATGGTGTTATGTTTTATGATTTCTGTGAAAACTCTCGTACTTCTTTTGCTTAGGGACCTGTAAATCTTTGCACATGCATGAATCCATATATATTGTATATCATTATCTACCTTGCTGTCAGAATTCAGACTAGGTTGCAAGAAGAATTACTGTTTACTGCATATAGAGTCTTGTGTATACGAGTCTTTTGTATAACTTAAATTGCTAGGTTTTTGTTTTTTTTAACTGCTGCAGTGTATTTAAAACACATTTCCAAATTTCATACTCTTTCTTCCCTTATGTTTTTCTCCAAAGCATGATCAGTTTTTCTGGGAGTATACCCTCTTCTCTCAAAGAAAGAACTATCCAGGAGGCCAAACTTATAAAGCAGAAACACAATTCAAAAGTTTCACCTAAAGTGTCAAATTCTGCCAAACTTAATTTGATGAAATTGCCAAGTCATTCAGAGAAAAGGGATTCAATGGCTGCAAGTAAGTACATAAGTGATATGGATTGTGATCTTGTAAATGTTTACTTGGAACTAAATGCCACTGAGTTCCACGAGGCTTATTTCTAAATAAAGGTATTTAGAAGTGGAACTTTAGATGGCATACGGAAACACCCTAAATGTATCAGGGATACAAAATTTCTCTTGGTGGCGGAGAATTTTACATAGACACTACATTAATTAATGTTTCTATAAATGCTAGCTCAGTTAATAAGGGGTATTTAGCTAGTGGCATGTGGCGGCGCTGCGGGTTAAACTGCAGAAGCCTCTGTGCTGCCAGGTCAGAAGACCAGCAGTCGTAAGATTGAATCCACGCGACGGAGTGAGCTGCTTGGCCAAGCTCCTGCTAACCTAGCAGTTTGAAAACATGTAAAAATACGAGTAGATAAATAGGTACTATCACGATGGGAAGGTAACAGCATTCTGTGTCTAGCCGCACTGGCCACGTACCCACAGAAAGTGTCTTGGGACAAACGCTGGCTCTACGGCTTGGAAACAAGGATGAGCACTGCGCCCTAGAGTTGGACACGACTGGACATTTGTTAAGAAGAACCTTTACCTTTACCTTCATTCAGCTAGTAAATATTACAGGCCTGCATACAGAAACCCCCATCTTTTTGTACATTAAAACAATTCACACATTATATTTTTGCATATTTTGATTAGAATTTTTTTTAGTTAGAATTAAAGAAGTCAAGTTTGTATTAGTTATCTTTTACCACATTGCTACAGGAAAAGGACCCTGGTTCTAACACTTTTAGTTACTCAGAAATGAAGAGAGGGATGGAATGATTGAGGTGTGGAGACTAAAGGTCCTGGAAACCTCGTCCTGTAAGAACTTGCTTCTAACTTCAGCTCTTCTTTGTGGATTTTGCTCATCACGGTCATTGTTTTTATATCTGCTCAGAGCCCCACTTCTGAGCCTTCTAGAACACAAAGTATTATGGCAGAGAAGGTCTTGTCAGTTGCAGGGTTTGGAAGTAATCTTATTACAGTGGTGCCCCGCAAGATGATGTTAATCCATTCCATTGAAATCGCTGTTTAGCGAAAACATCATCTTGCGAAAAGCATTTCCTCATTGGAATGCATTGAAATCCGTTTAATGCGTTCCAATGGGGAAAATAGTCATCGTTTTGCGAAAATTGCCCATAGGGAAGCCATTTTACAAAGCGCCGATCAGCTGTTTAAATTGCTGTCTTGCAAAGCATCGGACCCGAAAACACCCGTTTTGCGAAGATCGCCCATAGGGAAGCCATTTTGCGAAGCAGCCAATCAGCTGTTTAAACTCGTCTTGCAAAGCATCGGTGCAAGAAAAAAAAAAGTCTTGCGAAGCACAGACCGAAACATCATCCAGCGGAAATTGCCCATAGGAAACACTGTTTTGCGAAGCGCAATGGCGATCGCAAAATCTCGTCATCATGTGGATTTGTCGTTTTGCAGGGTAATCGTCTTGCTAGGTACCACTGTATATTTATTATTAATTTAGTAAATTTAGTAAACTTACAGTTTGGTTTACAGAAGGAGTAATGAAGATATTATATTTCAAAAGCAGTGAAAGTATTTTTTTTATTTGGTATGCAGTACATGCAGAGGCATTTATCAAGCCTTATGCTATATTGATCTTAAATGGTAAAGGAAAGACTAGATTATTTCATATTTTCTATTTTTGCTAGAATTTCTAAAGTGCAGTGTCAGAATTCAAAGCAGGAGGGAGCCATAGCGTATGTCCTTACATTTTTCTGGCATGCAAATAGCAAAACAAAGAACACCAGTAATGCATCAAATCACTTTTACATTAGGAGCAATAGAAACAAGTTTGGATACAAGATAATGGCTTGTTTAGAGATGTTAGCCAGATCCAAAGTCTGACAATGCTATCCAGATTCTGGTAGGAGAGGAACAACAACAAGAAGAAGCGAGTTCAATGCAATTGTTTCTGCTTCTTATCTCTGCCTCTCCCCCCCCCCAGACATATTTAGGCCCTATGATTCCTGCCCTCAAGTCAGTGTTGAAGTTTGTTGGACTATTAGAGGAGTCAATATTGCTGTGGATGTGGTGTTTCCTTTAAGAGAAACAAGGAGGGATCACTTGGAGATCATTTTGTAACCTCCTTCTGTGCATACATATTAGGAGCAGGCAACTCTGTTTGTAGAAAAGGAGTGGACCTGCTTAAGGACCTTAACCCTTTGTGTCCTCAGCTTTGTTTGTTTAGCAGCTTTGTTTAAGTCCCCCTTTCCCATGACTCTGGAGACCCGTGACTTATGAGATCAGTTCCATGTGTTGCATTTTAATCACTGTGCTGCCGTTTCCCTTACAACTAAGACAGCTGGAGCTCTTTCTTCCATGCACTTTTGATAAGCATTTACACCCTTTCTGGGGAGTTTTGCTTGCTTGCAATATTAAAGCCTCTTGTGACATGATTGGATTTCTTTTTGCTGAAGCTGCTTATTGTGCTTCTCTCTCTCTCTCTCTCTCTCTCTCTCTCTCTCTCTCTCTCTCACACACACACACACACACACACACACACACACACACACACACACACACACAATTTTCTCTTTCCAAAAAGGGCAGTACTAGTCAGTTCCATTTATCTGATTATTAGCTTAAACTACCAGCCAGACTCCTGACCAGAAGGACCCTAGTGATGTGTGGAGCCCAGTTAGTGACTTGGCCAGCCTGGAGGAGTGAGCAAAGGGAATACGCACCACCTATGATGCCGCACTTCATCTAGGATACAAATAATGAAGCACCGATGTCTATTCTGTAGCTTTCTATGGCATTTTAAGAGGAATCTCCCCTTGACTTCCCTGGTCGCTGGTAGCAATCTGGCTGCAGTTATGTAAAAGCAATATAGAAAAGTAGTGAGACGATAATGATGATGATATATTTTTAAGAACAACAAAAACAAAGGCTCAATATAAGAAACAGCAATTTGAAAATAAACAGTTGGAAAAATAAACCACTGCATAGATAACACTTGAGATATATTGATGGAGGGCATGACAATAATTCAACCTGGGCATGGCTAAAACTGGGTACCATTAAGAAAGAAACCAAAAGGTTTGATCCTTCCTGCACAAGAACAAGCACTTCAAACTAATGTTACAAAAGCTAAGATTCAAGTAATTAGTGCCAACAGCAAATGTCAACTCTGCTGAGAAAAAGATGAAACTGCATCACACCTCATCTACAAGTGTCCAAAGATTACACAAACAGATTACAAAATTAGACATGATGGAGTGGCAAAATTAGTGCACTGGATAGTATGCAGAAAACTGGAACTTGCCAGCCTCCAAAAACCCGTGGAAAGATCAGTTAGAGAAGATGTCAGGAAATGAGGAAGTCAAGATCTTGTGGGATTTCCAGATCTAAACTGATAGGCACCCAGGCAATTAAAATATCTTGCTTGAGGATGAAATGTACCTCAGTGGTCCCCATCGTCATCAGGGCTTTGAGAACAATATCAAGAACTTTCACACAGTATTATAAGCGGTTGCAGATTTCGGAAATAACATCATCAGAACTACAGAAACCAGCAGTATTAGAAACAGCATACATACTGCGCTGATATTTAACAGACACTTAGATTTTTGATTAAAACTTATATCTATTATATAATACTAGTCAGTGTTTTTATAATTTGATTAACTGTGCCTGATATTTAGTAGTAGTAGTCATCGTAGTCGTAGTAAACTGGAAGAGACATTCAGCTATTCAGAATGTAGCAGTTTCCTGTAAAAAATGACATTGGAAAGCTCAGTGGGGCCGGGGAAAATCTCGATGGAGAGTCTTTGTATGGGGTGAATCTGAAAATTTCACATCCCAATTTGAAGCGAGTGAGTGGGGGACCTGGGAGTACAGACAGCTTTCCAAGGTCCAGGGATGGGCCTATATGCTCCCCCCCCCAGTTCTGGAAGTTCCAAAGCCCTTAGGTTTTACCAGCCCCCAGGTGTTTTGGAAGATCCGATCATCATTTTCATAAATATATTGCATCTATAGTATTTAATTATTTTTACTGGATAGGAGTACACAATATTCAGTTGCCTTCAGGTTTTATTGTCTTCTCTTCCAGTCCTCCTCCAGTTATCAGATAGAAGGAAAACCCCAAGGAGGAGTATTGCTTCAAGTCCAGACAGAAGACACGTGCCAAGCTCCCATAAACCATCCACTAAAGAAACTATTGCTTTATCAGCACATGCGAGAAAGTTTGGAATAGCATTTTTACAGCTGAATCTGATGCCGCTGCTGGCAGGTATTTCCCTTCACAATATTGGGCAAGGGGAGGGAGGAAAACATCCATGTGTCCATTTCTTAATGCTTGAACAACCTTTCATAGGTTTTGGTTACAGTGTGTCAACTGGCTTGACCAAGAGACTTCCAGAGCGTGAGAACAAAAGGGCATGCCCAGTTTGGCTGATATAGAGCCCTTCACCTACTGTCCCTACACACTTTATGTCTTTGTGATTACAATAGAGCTGGTATCTTGCTATGCTGAACATCTAATGATTCTGATTCTGTCATTGGTGGAAAAATAAAGCTAAAAAATTAGTGTAAGGAAAGTACACTTATCAGTCCATCTGTGTATACTGCCTTATAATTAGTCATCAACTACTAAAATAAAATAAATATACATTTAAAAGGAAGAGCTCTTTTTCGGTTCACAAAAGGTTTCCTTATTTATTTATTTATTTATTTATTTATTTATTTATTTATTTATTTATTTATTTATTTATTTATTTATTTATTTATACTTATTTACTTATTTACTTATTTACTTATTTATTTATTTATTAGATTGTTATCCCGTCCATCTAGACCAGAGGTCTACTCTGGGCGGTTTACAAATTTAAAAACAGTAAAAACCAAAAACCAACAAAGCAATAAAATAACCTTGGTGTACATAAAGAGTATTATTTTAGCAATTTTCAAAAAAAGGCTGAAAATCTTTTAAAGGTCTTGCTTAAGGAAGACAAATATACCTTTAAATAGCGATAGATTAAATACAGTTTTCAACTATATAAAGTTGGCATATTCTTCCAAGTGCTAGAAACTGCTTGATCGGAATTCTGTCATTGTTGAAGGCTTGTTTACTTACTGCTGCTGCAGCAGCAGCAGAAAAAGAGTCAACTGATGGTTATGGGTGATTTCAGCTTCTTGCATGAATCAGACTGCAAATGTTCTGCCTCACACACCGCACACAACCAGTGTTCCTGCTGCAACATTGGGAAGCAGGTAGAGTCTGCTTCTGCCTGTCACTTACTTGTCTCTGGTACACGGGACTCGAAGAAGGCTGGATTCTCTTGGCTTCTAGTGTCAGATGATATTTTTTCTTAAGTTGTGATCCAAACTTACATCTGATACACTATGTAAAGTGAGTGTGGATGTGTTACTCCTATGTTAAGTATTTAAAACCATTTACTCAGCACCAGTAGTGTGCTAGATCCAGTACTGAATTGCCATTGTGGACATCTGAGGACCAAATAAGAGCCAACAGAGAATGTATAGATAATGTATTGCTGTAGAGGTAGAAAATATGCTATATTTGGTGATTTAGATGACCATTTTCTGATAAGCACATATGTTCTAGCTCAGCTAGGCCAGGATTTGTGAATTGACTGGCCTTCATAATAAACCTGAAAGAAAATCAGTGAAGGATTTTGAGGATGATGTGATGGTATTAGAACAAAGATCAATATTAAGAAACATGTCTTATATTCACTAAAGAAACAGAATGGTTGCATGTACTATAGTATGAAAAGTGAAGAGGTATGTAGTGAGTGACATGTATATGAATAATTTCAGAATATCAACCTACCTGGCGCACAAGATGAAAAGAAATTTGGCCTTGAATGATTATAAATATTATCTTTAAGTAATATTTATAATCATTATAAATGATTATAAGCAGAAACATTTCAGATATTAATTTTTTCTATTTAGCAAATGTGACTTTTTACTAAATTCAGTTACATCAATATAGCATGCAGAAACAAATTACAGTAGATAAGTAGGGAAATTAAGTGACTGATAAGGGTTTTGTTATCAGACAGTTATATCTGAGGGAGCAACTACATTGACTAATAATGCAGCAAATGCTCCAAGATTGGAATGGTCAGATTTGCACTATTTTCCTCTGACTACATAACTTAAAAGTCAGTGTGAATGAACCCAAAGTTTATCCCCCCCCCCTAATCAGTAGTTTTTTCCTCCACTGGTGAGGCTTCTTCTTCTTTTTTAATCGATTGTGTTCACATTGGTTCAGGTGATGTGATCACTCAAGCTGATGTAGAAGGATTTGTGCCTGATTATCTGAAGCCACTTTCGCTGGCTGCAGTAGCAATGAGAGAGACAGGACAGCGGGCAAACTGGTGACCGTTTGAATCATTTTCTTCCCACACATAGTACCTTGCTCTGCTTAGTTCCCTCTTCCCTTCCTGTTGTGTTTCTTTCTCTTTTTTCTTTTAAAGGCTGACTGCAGCTTTCAGCTTGTTAATATCCCTCTCGCCATCCGGATCTGCAGGAAGGATGGTTAGGGTAGAGCTACCTTCACATGCTGGGAACAATGTTGACTGAAAACCTCCTCATCCTCTCTCTGCTAGTTCATCACTTTTTAAATCTTCACTTCAGTTACCTAGCTTACCTAGGACTAGGACATGAAGCCTTTAAAATTTTATTTTTATTTATTTATTTATTTATTTATTTATTTATTTATTTATTTATTTATTCATTCATTCATTCATTCATTCATTCAATTTATCCCCCGCCCCTCTAGACCATGTCTACTCGGGGTGGCTTACAATATAAAATAGATCTATATAAAATATATATATAGTCATAAAATACAATTTCTATATTAATTAAAACAATTAATTAAGAAAGGATACTAGATTGGGATAAGATAAGAGAAAAGAAATGAAAAGAGTTAGCTGACTGGAGGGAAGGCCTGCTAGGGTGGAAAAAGAAACAGAATGGAATGGGAAGAGATGAGGGAGACAAGCAGACCCAGGCATCAGGTGTGGAGGATTCAGATGGTTTCCAAGCTGCAAACAGGATGGATTAGCCATTTCCTTCCCCCCCTCTTTCTATTGACTCCTGTGTGATTGACTGAAGTGAATTAACCCGGGGAAGCCTGACTTCCTGGGTGTGACTTCGCAGTGGATTCATTCACATTTCTCCCACTGTGTAGTCACCAACTAAATCTGAAGACAGTTTTAAAATCAGTTTGTTCCAGATCACTGCTGGTTAAAAAATGAACACTAAAAAGGGCTGTTCTTTTATATAGAAATGTACTGCAACTGTACTATTTTTCTCCCATAAGCAGATGCTTGGCCATTGTTATTATACTTATGTTTCCTATCAAAATAAGTGCAAATAAAGAAATAACACTCTCCCTGACCAAAATACAGGAAATGTGGGGCAGCCTGTAGGAAATGGCTGTAAAGCTTTAGGCACTGCTTATTAAAAGGAACATATTTTGAAATTGAAATACCTTGTGAAGCAAAGAAGCCATCTTTCTGCTTATTTATTTATTTGTTTATGTGTTTGTTTGTTTGTTTGCTTGCTTGTTGCTTGCTTGCTTATTGATTGATTGATTGATTGATTGATTGATTGATTGATTGATTGATTGATTGATTGATTGATTTGATTTTTACCCCGCCCCTCTAGACCATGTCTACAGCAATACATTCTTTTGACACTTTGGACTTCTGTTGAAAATGTAAGGATCTTTTATGTACATTTCATGCTCTTGAACTGTTTCAACGAATAGAGTTTGCAGGATGTGGTTCCACTATTTTTGACAACTTTGCCAAACATATTGCAGGAGTCTGTAAAGTAAAAGCCCAAAGTAAGTTCACTTTTATTAGGACTGCAAGGGTACACAGCAGCCGCCCCCTGGGATTGCGTGCTGCTTTGTTGAGTTAGCTGACAGCCTGCATACAAATTACCTCTCTGCAGCATGTTTCTTGACGTTTTCCTTTTAATTGAAGTTGAATCTTCAAGGGCATTGATATATTACTCTGGTGTATTCAGAGCTTCCTTCAGTTTTTCTTGCACTGTATAATTTTGTTCAACATGGTACTGATATTTAAAGTTACATACTTTCCCCAGATAGTGCTCTTCAAATTAAGGCACACTTGTAAAAAGAGCACCATAAGGAGTTCTGAAAATATCCTCATTGCCTTGTGGTTATGCATGAGAAATGCCTTATATTGCCTTCCATTTGCCACCTCTTCTTGATGCCTGTTTTGAATACTTACGGATTTTTGTTGATAATCTGTGGGCTCCCCCTGCTGCTGACCTGTAGCTTGTCCAAGTAAGATGACAAGGTCAGAAACTAGCAAACTGGATCACCTTTGGGGTTATAATATGTCCTTCTTCTCATTTGATGAGACTAATCATCTAGATTCTTAAACAGAGAGTGACTGTGAATTCAATAAATGAGCATGGTGTTTTTTGGAGCAGGGAGACAAAAAGAATTTTGAAGGTGGAAAGGGTTATTCTTAATGAAAAACGGGTACCTTACATAGGAGACCGGGAGCGAAGATATATAACACTAATAGGGAGAAGACAAAATAGTGCATGACAAATTAATGGAAGACTAGATTAAAAATTGGGCAAAATCCTCTTGTTTAGCTTTGTGGGTGTAATTAGTGTAAGCAAATTGTAACATTCTGTCAGTTCTTTCCAGGTAAAATATCCCTGCTTTGGTTTTTGGGGGCATGCATACAAATGCCAAGACATTGTACACACTTCCAGAATCATGGCAGGGAAAGTTTGTTTACTAGAGAGGGATGGATCTAAAGTTACAATTTGGCTTACACTATGCAAAAGGAGTTCAGTCATTGGAAATTTGTAGTTTGGGGGCCTTTGTTTTGTTTTTGATGTTTGTTGGCATATTCGTGTTAGGTGCTTAGTAGATTCCTGTTAGGATTTTGGTAGATGCAATCTCTCTGACTTGAAATATTTCTATAGCTATTTTTTGTACTCTGGTGATTCTGAAGCTCTTTTTGCTTGAGTTGCTACATCACTAAATGTTCTTCATGAAAAGATTCTTTTTTGACAGCAGATATCATTCCTTATCTCTCTGTTTCCATATTCTCTTTAGTTTAACCTGATTAGGTAATCTATTACCTTATTAATCTTCCAATATTTAGCTATAAAATTTCTTTGACTTTTTGGACATATGTCTCTTGTCCCCCCGCCCCCCTCCCGTTTTTGTCATTTTTTTTCTGTTTCTTTGCAGTGTTTTTTTAACAATTCCCCTTGTCCCAATGTGGAAAACACAAAAAACTGCATTTAGGATTTAAAATCGATTTCTGGCACCGGTCACTGTTGCTTCTTGACTGTTATTGGTGTTGGAAAAATAGCAGCCTTGCATGCATTTAACACTGGGAATCATTTGGAGAGAGTTTTACAGGCGAAAGCGATGATCAGTTTGCTTTTTTGTGAAATTGTATTTTGAGAATGACTGCGATCATCACAGCTGTTTTCTGCCTGGGAATTTGGTTGCAGCCATTTTTTTGGTAATAGTCCACATGACAAATCTACAAAATTTCCAATGTGCAAACTTATTCAGAAAGACTGGAAACTCCCAGTCTAGGCTTTTCCAGTTAAGTGAAGCGCCTACCCTAGAACATTACAGATGCATAAGGATAATCACATAGTAGTGCTACAGGGTAGCAATTAAGGGACCTGAAAGATTAAAACAGAGGCTAAAATCCTATTGTGTAGCTCTACAGGCACAATGTGAAGCTGTGGCAGTGTTAGTGAAAAACATAGCAGGGTGGAAGTGCTAGTCACAACAAATTTCTCCATGTTAATTGCGTAGTGCTGGTTACCAGGGTGCAATGCTCAGCATGCTTATGTTGGCATAACTTTTATGTTACACCATAATGTACTGGTTCTTCTTCGTGGCCTGTGTGAATCACACTCTGGGTGATCCACGCCTGCATGGAGCTTCATCGGAAAGTTCAATCTAGAGCTTCTGCAGCAGCAAAAAACATATTAGAATAAGGCCCCTCTCCCGTTATATAAGTATCTTGGCGCCAAGGCTCCCCTACAAAAAACACATTAAAATAAGGCCCCTCTCCCGTCATATAAGTATCTTGGTGCCAAGGCTCCCCTTTCAGTTTTTTTTCAATTGCCGTGTTGAGAGCCTCATACAGTGGTGCCCAGCTAGACGATGTTAATTTGTTCCATTGAAATCGCTGTTTAGCGAAAACATCATCTATCGAAAAGCCTTTCCCCATTGGAACGCATTGAAATCCGTTTAATTCATTCCAGTGGGGAAAATACCTTGTCGTCCTGCGAAGGTCGCCCATAGGGAAGCCACTTTGCGGACCACCGAAGCAAATACCTCGTTGTCCTGCAAAGGTCGCCCATAGGGAAGCCACTTTGCGAACCACCGATCAGATGTTCTAAATTGCTGTCTTGCGAAAAATGGGCCCGAAAACACCCATTTTGCGAAGATCGCTCCTAGGGAAGCAATTTTGCGAAGCGCTGAAGCACGGACCAAATCACCGTCCAGCGAAATTGCCCCATAGGACTCACTGTTTTGCGAAGCAAAATGGCAGTTACAAAACAGTCACCATGCGGATTCGTAGTTCTGAGGGGTAATCGTTTTGCGAGGTACCACTGTAGTTCTGTGAGTAAAAGAGAGAGTTTATTCTTGATTCATTCCTGTTATCAAAAGTTTTCCTTTAAATGTTTAGATCAAATTTATTATCATCAGAGATGTTTTCTTTTCTACTTCGTTTGGCCTCTGGCTGCAGCACTCCCCCATCGTCACCATGCGGATTCGTAGTTCTGAGGGGTAATCGTTTTGCGAGGTACCACTGTAGTTCTGTGAGTAAAAGAGAGAGTTTATTCTTGATTCATTCCTGTTATCAAAAGTTTTCCTTTAAATGTTTAGATCAAATTTATTATCATCAGAGATGTTTTCTTTTCTACTTCGTTTGGCCTCTGGCTGCAGCACTCCCCCCCCCCAATAACTGGTTTTTTTTTCTCTCCTCAAATTATTTTCTCCTATTCAGGAGAAAAAAGAGGAATGTTGCCCTCTTTTTATATTTTTATATTATTATATTTTGTATGGGTTGAATGGGGGCGGTTGGCCATTTAATGTTTATTTTCACTGCTGGAAACAAACAAATCATCCGGCCAGCCCGCCAGCCGTTGTCCTTGGTTCAAGTACTGAAACTTACTTAGAGTGCCAGTGTTAGCTTATCTGGAAGATAATTTGAAGCATAGTGTCTTGTGCAATTGCTATTCAAATTCTTTGATTCTGCTTCCAGGAGAACGCTTTGTAGTCAGTCAAATGGGAGAGAGATCCCCTAAAATTTGTGAAGCATACCTGAGCTTTTCAGTTGGGAAGCCTCTCATGACTGAGAAGCAGAAACATGAATTAAATCCCCTGATTATTAGGATAAAGTCTGCAAGATCCTTACCAACCACTCCTGTCCCAATTGAAGAGCTACAGGTAATTCAGAATATGGCTTCTTTGTGGTTCAGTGTGTTTAGGTAACAAGCAGTATTATTGGAGAATAGCACGAGAAAAATTCTGTGCATTGCTGATTTGCTGGGTTTTTTGACATGTGGAACAATTATTAACTATACAAGGCTTGGAATGAACTGTGGCCATGTCAGAATTCTCCACGTACAGAGTGCATAGTGGTGAAAGGCCTCTTACCAGTCACAATCCCTTATCTAGAGCCCTATCTGAAGATGTATACACGCATGGGATTATTGTGAGGTTCCTTATTGATCTATTGCTTTCCTCCTGTTTTTGTCCATGAGCTATCAGACCAAACACTGCTTTTTTTTGTCCTTACCTTTCTATGGCCTGTCTCCCATACCCCATTCCCTCACCTGCTGCTCAAGACTTTGTTTCCTTTCTGAGTGACAAAATTGAAAACATCAGCTTAGATCTTCCCATTCTCTCACTTTCAGCTCTCCTCTTTCCTGTACCTTTTCTCTATCCTATCCTATCCTGTTTCCTCCTCTCTTACTTAGCAAGCTGGCTACCTTTATTCCTTCATCCAGCTCCCCTTCTCCAAATCACTAGCATCCTCCTCAATCCTCATGACATCACTCTCACCTTTCTTACAGCAGATCACATTCTTCACTATCTCCCTTTGTTCCTTACTTCTCTGCAGTTCTTTTCTCTGCTAGCTCAATCTCTTTAATTTTGAACTGTTTCTGTAAGGAAGTGCTTTGCTGATGCTTTCTCCTTCTTGATGGTAGTCCATGGGCAATCTGTTCTTTTTCGTCTGCTATTCTCTTCCACTTCTCTTTCCCTCTTTGTTTCTAAATCTGTACATCCAGCTGTCTGTCTAGTAATGTTCTTTACCGCTTAGTATGTCCATGGCAGTTTTTCAGTCTTACCCCCAAGCCCTCCTGTCCTTATATACTTCCCATGTTCATGAACAATATACCTATCCAACCTGTAGAACAGGGGTAGAGACCTATGTTTATCTTGGACTTCTCTTTCTCCTTTGCTCCCCATATTAGTTTATCTCTAAGCTGTGTTGGTTTTCCCCTTGTAAGATTGGGAAACATATATTTTCATATCTGCCTCACTGGTAGAAACAGTGTGGAATCAAAATAAGAGCTAGCTAACCAACCAGCTTTTGACCAAGCTCCTGGAGGCAGAGGAAGATAGGAGGGCCTGGCGTGCTCTAGTCCAGTGGTTCTTAACCTTTGTTACTCAGATGCTTTTGAACTGCAACTCCCAGAAACCCCAGTCAGGACAGCTGGTGGTGAAGGCTTCTGGGAGTTGCAGTCCAAAACTCCTGAGTAACCCAAGGTTAAGAACCACTGCTCTAGTCCATGGGTTCACGAAGAGTTGGACACGACTTAATGACTAAATAACAACAACCAACTAAAGTTGGCAGAAGGGAGCTAAGCCCTAGTTACCATTTGGATGTAAGCAGGATTGGACCTAAAAATATCCCCAAGCTAAAAGCCTGCTTCTAAAGCAGTAGTTTAACTCCCAACGACAATCAACTGAATTCCTTCCCCATTCCTTCAAACCACATCTCCAGTTAATCTCACCTGGGTGAAATAGATAGAAGTTAAATAGTACAGGAGACAAAACAGAACCTTGCAGTGTCTTATAGTACAAATATCATAGGACCAAGGAGAAGTCTTATATTGTCACCTTCTGAAAGCAAACCTGTGAGAAAGCCACAGATGCACTACAGTAACAGTGCCCTTAATTCTCATCTTTAACAGGACACCCAGAAGGGTAGCATAATCAATTAAGTTAGGTTATGCAGATGTCCGGGAGAGCCATAGGGTTGTACTCGCATTGTCTGCCCATGTTTTTATTTCTCCTGAAAACGGTGCCACAGAGCAACCAGGACATTTTAGTCCCCAGACCTGACTAAAATGGGACAAGACATGTAGGAGTACAGTGAATGTCTTGGAGCCAAATGCTTCAGAGTTGTCTCCTACCATAACAAGTTGTTCAGGAAATTGATTCTTGTTAATCAAGGTTAATATTTGCTATCTATGGTATGGCAGATGGTCATGAGGAAGAGGACCTTTTCAACTGAGATGCTTGGACTGTGAAAGAGCTTACCTAAGAGTATGTGATTGTGCTCTCTCACTTGTTGCCTGTGGACAATTTTTTTTGCCACCCAACTTGTTCTTAATTCTACCTGTTTCAGGTTTGAGCAGGGTTAGGTTTTGTTTTGTTTTTTTGTTTTGTTTTGGAGGGAAGGTATTTATTATTCTATAGCCATTTTTGTCATGATCCTTAACTACAATTCTGTGTATCATAGATAGGATTTTAAAATGTCTTTTTAAATAAACATATAATATAATTCTCTCTTGCTCTCTTCCCCTTTCCCTCCCTCCTTGTTCCTCACCCCCTCTCTTTTGGTAGCATATATGTGCTCCTGTTTACTGCAAATATAAATTCCACAATATGCCTCCCCATCAAACCGAAGGTCGAGCTCATGGGACTGAGGTCTTCTTTAAAGATATCAATGTGATTCTTACAGGGACAATAAAGACAGAACTGAGTGAATATCTAAGGGGGCCACCCTTGGAAATTGAAGTTCATGACAGAGACAAGAAGATGGAAGCGATCAAGGTGAAGCCTTCTTTGTTTGGTGAGGAGCCGGGAGACAGCAAAATAAGTCATTTGAACACTGTAGCTTCTAGGCACTTGCTGCAGAATCGTTTTTCAGAGGAAATTCGGCATCCCTTTGGGGTAGCAAAGATCAGCCTGGCTGACTTACTGCTAGGTGAAAAGACCCTGAATTTCTATGCTCCTATTCAGAATTGCTCCATTCAGGACACTGCTTTCTGCCAAGGGGAGAGTATCTTTCAGAAGGCAAGGGGAGTTGATGACTCACAAGCTCTTCAGCTACCAATGGGCCATTATGTGAACTCAGAGTCATACCTTAAAGTGAGAGTTGAAATAACTGTGCCTCTAAGTCTCGAAGAGGACTCGGATGACACAGAAACTGCACATTGCCCTTATGGCTGCATCATCTATATTTTTGACTATAAGAATACCTCTCTCTTAAGTTATTTGCTGCAAGAGATTACAGCCATTAATGCAGAGGCTCTCCAGCTCAATTCTTATCCCCCACATATCATTCAGAAATCTCTGAATACTTTAAAACTGAACCAGAAGCTTTCGTTTGAGGAGGTTTCTCAGCTAGATATTATTACGGGGTTCCACATACTGGATGGGTCCATTCACCTCCTTATTTTGGAAGGCTTCAAGAACAAAGCACTGAAGAAGTTGTGGAATAAAAGAATAGACAGGTAAACAAGTTCATTTTACTATTTAAATCTATTTTCCTCTGCAATGATGTTTTTGTAAATGTGATTTAATGAGACTGTATGTAATTGCTCATGTGTGTGTTATCTGCACATAAACACACACATTATGAATGTGTGTGAATACTGTATGTGTATATAAGCTGGTGTTTATGTCAGGACAGAGAGAAGATGATCTAGAGGTGGTGCATCTTGAGTCCTTTCTTTTATCATGGTTAGATCATCTGCTGAGATTTGGACATGCAGAGTCCAACTCCACCCTTCCATACAGAGAAGGGACCTCTTACTGTGATCCACCCCCAAAGACCAATGGATCCTACTGGTTTTCAAAATGTCCTGGGAGTCTTCTGGCTGATAAGGTTGATGTTTCTGTTGATGCTGTGGTCACTCACTAATATTCAGAGGTGACCTGAGCTGTAGAAACAATCAACCCTAAATGCCCTCTTTGTTGCAAAGCTCAACCATCTCTGTGGTTGAGGAGTTAACCGAGGAGTTAAAGATGATGAAGCAATTATGAATAAGGCTAAAGAGCAGATGGAGGAAAGCTCCCATGGAGATCAACCTGCCGGCTTTCAGGGAAGCATTCCTGAAGATACTGTAATAAGCCAGTGAAATAAGCCACAATATTCAACTTATTGAACCTGCTTCTGATCAACAGGTGGAACTTTTATGTGTAATCCATAGTTTTATTTTTCCCAGACAAAAACAATTTCAGCATGCAAATGCTGACAACCGACTGGCAGCCCATTGTGGATCTAATGTTGAAGGCATCAATCAGGACCTTGACTCCTTCTTGATACCAGTAAATCTGAAGTAGATCTTCAGTGCACCATCTAGTGAGATTAAACTGGATCATTTTCAGCTAGTATGAAGAGGTGTACCAGGCACTTGCACTCGCCAAAACCATCACTTGTTTGCTAGATCGTTGTACATTGTGGCTCTTCAAATCAGCCAAAGAAATGACCATGGAATGGACTACATACATCATTAATGCCGCACTACAGGAGGTTCACTTACCTTCCCGATTAAAGGAAACTGATATAAGAGCCATTCCAAAGAAACCTAATTTAGCAGTGGATGATTTTAATAACTATAGATCCATTGTCAATATTCAATTCTTGGGCACATTGATAATGTTGATATTTGTATCTCCATAGAGAAAGCTGGGTCCAAGAGCACCCCCAAGCTACAGACCTGATCCTTCATCTGGGTAACATTATTCTGGAGCCTCTCTTCATCGTCTCCACCGTGCATTCTTCTACTTACCAGTAGCATTCTTCCTCAAACTTTTATTACTCCTTCTTAGTTTTGTCTGTTCCCCAATAAAAAAAACAACAACCCAGAACAAATTCTATATCCTTTTCTACAACTTTCATTTTCATTTTTGGTTCCCAGCTACATTTCACAAAGTGTGTTTATACTGTGGCTTTATGATTCCATGATTAGATGGTTACTGCCAGTGCCTCCCCTGTCTAGGCAAGTCCCATGCAACTCCTTCCTGCAAAATCTACAAGGGCAGGAGTAGTAGAGAAGCCAGACTCTGTACTTTATTCTAGGAGAAAGCCCTGTGCATACCAGCCTCATATTTCACTCTTCCAAGGTTGTCCTTCTTGCTTTTTCCACCGTTACCTCTCCAGATCTGAAAGATAAAATCCCCAATAGGAACAACTTCTGTGTTGGACACGTCATTGGGTGGTGTTTTCATTGATGTAAGCACTTAGGGCGTGTGTTTCAGGGCAGTGAAAGCGCACTCCCGGCCTCATTCCTTTCCTCCATTATCTTCCAAAGTTTTTTTTAAATTTGTACATGAGATTTGTGCTAGACCTCCCTGTCTTCATTAGATGTCCTCTGCATGCACAAAAAAGGGGGCAAAACGAATGACATTTGGAACGCTTCTGTAACCACGGAGCTTCACAGCTAACCATAAAAAGACAGGAGAAGAGAGGCCAGAGGAAGGAAGGAAATAAGGAGGTGGGTGGGTGGGCAGGATTGCGGGTTGCATCGCAAACAATAAGAACGGGGAACTCACAAATCAATCTGCAGCCCTTGTGATTTGAAATACAATGCAGGCTGCAAACTGCAGCAAAGCTGAATCTTTCCAATTCAGATTTCTAGTGTAGCCATGCCCTTAGATGCTTAATTTCATATCAATGTTCACCAGCTTAGAGTCCAGTCCCTTGAATTATCTGCAGCGCCAAGGGTCCTAACAAAAAGCATAATCATTGTCACCACTCGCCAGAGAACAAAGGGCATTAATTTTTCATTTTTTGGACGAGAGGTTGATTGTCATGACATCCAGGTGTGCCTAATGCTTAGCCCTTCACACCACACCTGCACTGCTCAACAAATTTGACCTCGTAACAAACTGAAAGGAGTCTTGTTTAAATTGCACTATCAGTTTTATAGGGGCCTGTATTGACTCCCACAAAGTTTGTGTCAGGATTCGGTTTTTAAAAGCTGTCCTTGTAAAATCACTCATTCTCTCCCTCCTTTGCCATCTGAACTCTATGGTGAAATGGGCACAACTGGTTCCAGGCCTTGCTGCCTCTGCCACCCCAACCATGTGCCCTAAGGCTGTGCACGGCCCCTCCAGCACTGGTTCCTCACAGGGTGGATTTGATGAACATCAAATTGATTTAAATCACAGTATCAGTTTTTTGAAAATGATGTTTTTGATTTAAATTGTCAAAACAAATCTGATTTTTGGACTTCTTCAGCATGTACAAATCATCCCACAAGCCTCTGCTTCCTCTCTTGTTTGTACCACCTGGAATTTTCCTATCTCTACGATAGTAGGTGTCCTTAAGCAACCTCCTCACAGATCTCTCCTTCAAATCACTGATTAAAATCATGATGGATGCCTGTGTTTTAGGCTGAGGAGCTCACTGTCTCAACCTAGACATAAATGACTTGTGGTCCACTGTAGAGCTGTGCATAAAAACCCTACAGTTGAAAAATGACCTCTTAGTGGGAGTTCATAGAATCACCATGCAAGGATCCCAAGCTGCAGGCAAGCAACCTGTTCATCTGAGTGGTCTCATGATAGTATTTCTCCTGGGCTGTACTAGTTTATAGTGTAGTTGGGGATTTTTATATTTGAATTTTGCTGCCTTATTTTTTAAAAAAGAATTTCTATATACAAAATTGGTGTGGAGGAGAAAAAATAGTCTATACAGTATACTTTTTCTAAAATGCTTCTGCTCTGTTGTAACCAGCAACTTTATTTCTAGAAGATCCCTATGCTGTTTCTTCACATGGAGACACAAGGCAGACTTTTGGCAGATTTTCATGCAAAAGTCTGCCTTTTGTCTCTGTGTGATTAATGTCTTGCAGTGTGGCCTTGGGCAAGCTGCACAGTCCCGGGGTGCCCTCAGAAGGAGATGGCAAACTACTTCTGAGTATACTCTGCCTGGAAATTGATTTGATGGCACATCGTCGTTGTCGTTGTCGTTGTCGTTGTTGTCGTTGTCGTTGTTGTTGTTGTTGTTGTTGTTGTTGGCTTTAACCCCTGCTTGACATTATTGTAACCAAATGTCCTGAAACAGAAGGGTTTTGTTATGCCCATTTTGCCATTTTTACCAATATTTTCGGTCATGCTTTGATTTTCTCTCTCTTTTGCTTCAATAATCTTTCCTAAGCCAAAACACAAGGGTTCTGAAGATAATGGAAGTTGTGGAACACTTTAATTTCATGCTTCCTTGCTAATGTTTTAATCTACCAGTGTTGCAAACACAGTATCAGCCATTGTCTCGTTTTAAAGGAAAGCTGTTCTGACAGAATTAAGGTTGAAAGGGAAATTTCAAAGACCAACACTGAGTATGGCTGACAGGTTTTCAGGGACTTGCAGACAGTTTTGTAAAGGATGTCATTCCCAGTGGCACATGTGGTAATTTATTTCCTTCCGTAGTTGCAGCTTCAAATCAGTTTCACAGATTTCTCTTGTCGTGCTGTAAGTTGCTTCCTGGAAAAACCTAAAATAATAGTAAGTACTGCCACAGTACATCTTCATAGGCTATTATGGGTACTTCTTGGACAGGGCATATAGTAGCAATTTTTTCTGTAAATGTTTGCATTTGATTACATGATTTTTTTTTGCTGCAGGCTACATCCAGTTGTTACTTGCAACTCCAGTTGACTCATCAGATAAATGGTTCTTGATAACTTTTAGCAACTTTAGTTGGGACGAAGTGTGGGTTTAGCCCTATTTGCCCTCCCCCTTTAGGGAAGTTAGGTATCTAGCTGTGGAACCAGAGGTTGGGAGCTTGATTTTCTACTGGCCTTGGGCAAGCTGCCGCGTCCCAGAAGAAGTAGATAACTTCTAAGAAATGTATGCCTAGAAACCCTCAAAAGGGTCACCATGGGTCGCAATTGTTTTGACAGCATACAGGGACAGATTATAGCAAACCACAGGATTTTTATCTTATTTTATAGAATGTGCATTTTTGAAATATAAAATTTTAAAAATCTATTCAATGAGAAACCAAAAATCCACATTCACTGAAAGTTTAAGAATATGAGATTATGGAATATAGTTAACAGCATACTATGTCTTGCTGGTTATAGACTGAAAGAAATGAAAACTGGAAGATTACAAATATTCTATAATTCACAAGTATCATTCCATCGGCGACTGTATATAGACCTTGAAGCTATCCTGTTTCATTTCCGTCTCTGCAAGCCACTCTCTAGTATCATGAAGCAACCTTTACTGTATGTCAGGGATATGGTTCCTCAGCCGTGCTTCGAAGCTCTGACTAGGTAAAAGTGTTCTTGGATTTTCAATACTGTAATCTCTTTCAGCTAGATCATGTGTGTATGTGTGTGTATATAAGAGAGAGAGAGAGATAATAGGAAGAGAAATAGTGAAGTTCTGAATGTCCCTTTTATAGAACATGCATTTCATAGCAGTTTTGAGATTTCCCTCAAAAGATGGTATATGATAACTGTGGAACAAAGAGGCCAGGTTTTTATTGGAAATGTATAAGGAATTCATGTAAATCTTAGTAGCAATTTGTCACTCATTAGGAAAGTACTGATTGCATTCCTGGGTATGTGGCCAATTGTGCAGTAAAGCATGTGGCCAGGAATGCAACTGGCACCTATAAGGAGCAACATTTTGCTATGAAGCATTTGTGATTTCCCTTATATGAACATAAATAGATCATAGGATTCTGGCTAGTTATGAAAAAAAGAAGACTTCTGATTCTGAGTAGTCAACACAGAAGCATATCTTGCAGTGCCTTAATATCTAGATCTTGTTCAATTATGAGATCGTTTGCTCCTAGAATATTCAAAACAGATTTTCATCTTATCAGAGGTTGGCTTGTCTAGTGACCAACCAAACCTCCATCTTTTATGGACTGAGCTTCAGTTAAAAGTAGGGAATTTTGTTCACGTATGTGCAACTCACTGTATCATACAGTGTTGGAGGACTTCCACAGATTCTTTGGAAAATGAAAATCACAAATAGAAGTGGGTGTCATAAGTATAGTGAAAAGAGCCCAGAATTCCAAATGACCTTACTGAGATCTTCATGTAAATGTTAAAAACATAAGGGATAGTATTGAGCCCAGAGGAGCCCCATAAGCTAAGGGCCATGAGTCCACAATACCCCAGTACACCTTCCTGAAAAGCTAAGCATGGTAGAGTTGGAATCAGTGTAAAGTTGTGTCCCTAAGCCCTATTTCGGACAAATAGCCCAGTGCAATATTATTCATGGTATTGGATGCTGTTGAGAAGACCAATAGAACCCATAGAAATACACTGAAATATTTCTAGTTCCCAGTGTAGGTCTTCCGTAAGTGACCAGTTGCTTCTCTCCTCATACCCAACACTGGAAAGAATCTTAGTAATTACTTTATTCTAAGAAAAAGACCACTTACTCTAAAAGCAGATGGCTGACAGTTATTGATGATGGTGAAGGCTGGATAAGTCCTTGTTTTTAGAGAGTTTCGTATTCAGACTCTAGAATTAGAACCCTCTTTCCAAAACAAAACAGGATTTAAAGCCCCCACACCCAAATTGACTACACTTCCTCTGATAGCTCGTAGTCTGCCAAACTGTAGCAGCATGCAAGAGTTAATAATCAACAAAAAAGAAATAAAAATCTATGTCATTGTAGTTCCCTGTACCACATTTAGGATTACTTTTAATATGATCTGATGCTTGAATTTGTTGTGTGAGGTTGCTGCATCTTTATATGTTGAAGGAAGAATCTCACATTACTGTGGGGCAGAACGACCAAGTGTTCAGCACATTTTGGGGGGGGGGCAGAAACTGTATTGTTCATCTTCTTGAAGTCTCTTGAGCAGGATCTCCCAGAGTGTTCAGACTATTGCCCCTTTTTCAGTTTTGAGGAATCCTTACACTTTCCACCTTCCCTTTATCATTAGTCAATCTCTTAATAATTTTAAAAAACAGCTTTGCAAATTTGAGGTTAAAAATACTGTAAACAGGAAAATGTGATAAAAATTTGTTTAACTTGAAAATAAAGAGAGAAAATAAAGCTTTTCTCCCCCCTCCATTAATGAAAATGGAACCTGCCTTAAGATATGCAGAAACAAAACAACCACCAAGAAAAAATGCAGGTGAGGGAGGTTGCTGCAGGATGCAGTCTTGAACCTTCCCTCAGAATTTCTTTCCGCACCATTCCTGCTCTGCCTCCTCCTCCCCCCCCGGAAGCACACATTAGCCTGAAAAGCAGTGCTGTAGCAAAGCATTCACAGCAGCTGATAAAGTGTCTAGTCTTCTGGTTGTTCTGGGTTTTTCGGGCTCTTTGGCCGTGTTCTGAAGGTTGTTCTTCCTGACGTTTTGCCAGTCTCTGTCGCTGCCATCTTCAGAGGACAGCAACCTGTATTCTGGTCAAGTACAGGTTGCGGTCCTCTGAAGATGCCGGCCACAGAGACTGGTGAAACGTCAGGAAGAACAACCTTCAGAACACGGCCAAAGAGCCTGAAAAACCCACAACAACCATTAGATCCCGGCCGTGAAAGCCTTCGCTAATATGTCTAGTCTTCCTTGAGCTGTGCAGTTGGCAGAGTGAAAAGAGATTGAATTTAAAATAAAGCATTGCATTTTTTATGACAGTGTGTAGCCAAAAGAGTATATATTCTACCTCATCTTCTCCTCCTCACCCTTTGCTTCATTCTGCAGGCTGGATTACATTTGCCACATTAAGAGGTTAAGGGATGTGATCCATCATAATCTTTTGCCATCTGCAGAAATGATCACAGCGTTGAGCCTAGAGTTTGGTGTTCCTTTGCATAAAGATGACCTCCATGTTCAGCAGTGCCCACAAATCTCAGGCATATTTGATATTCCCATCAAGTGTTTCCACATGGAACAAGATAAGCATTCCCATTTGGATAACCATAATGAAGAGTATATACTGAGAAAAAAGGAAATGGAAAATCGGACACCGGAAGATTACATTCAGGTGATTGTCTTCAGCAATAGAAGATGGGCTTTCAAATTGTTCACATGTATCTTTGTTTTAAGCCTTTGGGATTTGGGCTATTATTATAGCAAGCACATGTGCAGGACCATTCATTTGAAAGTACAGTGGTGCCTCGCATAACGATGTTAATTGGTTCCGAAAAAAAACGTTATGTGAAAACATTGTTATGTGAAGCACCATTTCCCATAGGAATACATTGAAAACCGGTTAATCCGTTCCAATAGGAACGCATAAAATGGGGTTTAATGCGTCCCTATGGAGCTTTTTTGCCCCCGCATGGCGATGAATCCGTATAGCGACAATTTTTCTGGAAGTCCGAGAACGGCCTGGGTAAGCGGCGCGGGGAAGCTTCAAGCCTTCCCGATCCCCCCCACCCTGTCCCCGATGCTTGAATCCTCCCCGCACCGCTTTCCCCAGCCGTTCTCAGACTTCCAGAAGTCCGAGAACAGCCGGGGGAGGCAGCGCGGGGAGGCTGCCGGCGCCGGGGACAGGGTGGGACGGTGTCCGGAAGGACCATTCAACACCCCCGTACCCTTCCCCCGCCGCCGCTGAGAGCATTCCGAGCTCTCAAAGGGCTTTCTCCAATATCGGAGGGGGCCCTTTGAGAGCTCGGAAGGGAATTGTCGGCAGGGGACGGTGGCTTCGGGGTCCTTCCGAGGCCGCAGCCCACTGCCGACATTTTCCCCCAGCTGAGCAGCGGGGCTTCAAAGCTCTCGCCGCTCAGCTGGGGGAGAATGGTGCCTATGGGGAAAAATCACAAAGCGATTTTTCCCCATAGGCAAGATCGTAGTGCGATCGCAAAAGTGATGGCAAAAAAGCCATCGCTATGCGATTTCTTCGTTAAACGGGGTGCTCGTTATACGAGGCACCACTGTACCCCCATTTCTGCATAGGGCAACTTTTGTAAGATTTTTTTAAATACAAGCTTATGAGGAGATGAGCATTTTAGTTCTAACATGAAGTTCTTCAGTTACTAAAAATACACAAGTATATGTACATTATGTTTCCAATGTTATATGTGTCATCTTTGTCATGTTTACTTAGAAGTCAGTGCTGCTGAGCTCAGTGAAATCTACCCCTTAGTAACTGTAGCCCAAGTTGCTGGCATTTTGTGTATCTGAAATGATTGTTTCCACAGTTGTAATTTGCAGAAGGCAAATCCTATGTAGAGCCAACATCCAGTGTCCATCTGAAGGTGGTAAACTTGAAGGTTGATAAAAACTCGGTTCAAGTAAGGAATTTTGTGATCTCTTTTGACTCACCTTAGGGAAAGAACCAAGTTCTAGAGCCCTGTGAAGGTTTCACTAGAGAATCCCAGGAATCATATTGCATGCCGCTTGTGTCCTCTTTAAAGTTCTAGCCATTTATGTACTTCTAAAATATAGCTGGTGAAAGCACCTTTGTCGATGGATGTGTATCAGAGGTAGGGAAGCTGAATTGTAGTCACTGTAAAGATTTAGCTAGTTCAGCACAAAAAATGTATGGCTTTGACTCACCACCAGCAGGTTTTAATTCACATTTATATCTATCAGCTGTTGTTGATTATCTGAAGACGATCTAAAGTGCATTCTGAATAATATCCATATATGAATAGAAGATGTGCTTGTGACAAACCCAGACCTACTGGGATATGCCACACAGTTACTAAGCTGCCACCAACCATTCCCTTTAATAAGTCACACAGACCAGGGATGGATTTTTAAACAATAAAAGAATTAGGTTTATTTAAATACACACACAGGGATAATAAAATAATCAGGTGAATAGGATGAAGTAACGTGGCTTATTCTCACTCATACAAGCATACAGTTTGGTTCACCCAGAACCCTTAACTTGAAGCACAGACCCTGAACCTATCAGTTCTGGCTAACCAACAGACACCTGAACCTATCAGGTTGGTACTCTGACACACAGAAGTACCCTGTCTGACAC